AGATTGAATACAATTCAGTATACTCAAAGTTCTCTCTTTTCATAAGGTTTCTTCATGGTATCAGAGCAGGTCACAATCTGCATCTGAATACTTTGTTTCTTCATTATATATATCCTGTTCCTTCTTGAACCACCTTTACCTTTTCCATTCCTTTTAAGCCAGAAATTACCATATTGACTTTATGGCTGAAAACAAGAACAAGCTGACCATCCAAAACTTCCATCAAATGGCAAGCTTGGTCTCGGTCAAGCTGTCAAGTTCCAACTTCCTACTCTGGAAATCTCAAATTTTCCCACTTATTAGGAGCGCCCAACTTCTACAGCATCTTGAAGAAGAGGCTCCAGCAACTACCATTACCAAGGACGGCAAAGAAGAATCAAATCCAGATTATGATATATGGCTAAATAATGATGGATTGTTGACAAGTTGGCTACTTGGAACTATGAATGAGGAAGCACTTAGCCTGGTCGTTAGCTGTGATACAGCCTTTCAAATCTGGAAATGCCTCAAGGAGCATTATCTCGCCTCAACCAAAGAACAAGAGCTTCATCTCAAGGGACAATTGGCAATCAAAAGAGGAGATAGTGAGTCTCTTGAGGATTTTATCAGGAAGTTCAAAGGAGTTTGTGACAAGCTAGCTGCAATTCGCAAGCCTCTAGATGACCTAGATAAAGTGTTTCAGTTATCTCGAGTTGTAGGGATAAGATATCAGCCTTACAACCTGGCAGTCTTGTCAAAGGAACCATATCCCACCTTCAATCAATACACTACAGGGCTACTAAATAATGAGAGGGATATCCAAGCTATAGAGCTAGAAAGCAAAGATAAAACTCCTGCATATTCTCAAGTTTTTGTGGCACAAAGGGGGAGAGGTCATCGAGGCAGAGGATATGGTGGCAAGCATTTCAATTCTAGAGGACGAGGATTTGTTCAAGCTGGAAATTACAATAACAATTGGACCAGCAATACCAATTGGGCCAGCAACAACAGAAGCAATTTAGTGAATAACAATCCAACACCCCAGCAAGCTTTGCCTCAAAAATTCCAGCAAAAAGCTATGACGCAAAAAGGTGAGAATCCATGTCAAATATGTGGTATTGCAGGGCATACAGCATTAAAATGCTGGTATCGTTTTGATCATGCTTATCAAAGTGAGGAGTTACCACAAGCACTTGCGACATTCACTGTGAAGGATAAAGATGAAAACTACTATGTGGATACTGGAGCCTCTGACAACATGATTTTTGATTCAGGTAAACTTTATTATAAAAGGCCTTATAATGGAAATCAGAAGGTTTTTACAGGTGATGGCACTCCATTACATATCTCACATATTGGTAGTGCTTCTCTTGGAAGATTAAAACTTAATGATGTGCTTGTTGTTCCTAATCTTAAGAAAAACCTTATTTCTATAAGCAAAGTTACTGATGAAAATCCTTATATTTTTGAATTCTCATCTAATGGTTTTGTGATTAAGGATCAAATAACTCAAGCGGTGGTGGCAAAAGGAACTAGGAAGGGGCAATTATATGCACTAGAAGAAGGAGAAAAACATGCTTTAATAGCTATTTCCAATAAGGCCTCAGATTCTATTTGGCATCAGAGATTAGGACATCCCAATTCTAATGTTTTAAGGACTCTAGCTTCTAAGAATAACATTGCAGTTTCAAACTGGACCAAAACTCCTCATTTATGTTCTGGTTGTCAAATGGGGAAAAGTTGTAAGCTACCCTTTAATAGAAAAAATGAAAGAACTGAATTCTTATTCCAGAAAGTACACTGTGATTTATGGGGCCCCTCTCCAGTTCAATCCACTAACCAGTTTCTTTACTATGTAATTTTTGTAGATGATCACAGCAGGTATACTTGGTTCTATCCACTTCACAAGAAATCTGACTTTTTTGATGTGTTTCAGAAATTTCAAAGAATGATAGCAACACAATTTAACAAGAACATACAGGTGTTCCAGTGTGATGGTGGTGGAGAATTTTCGAGTAAGAGTTTTCTCAATCACTTAGCTGAATGTGGCATTAAATTACAAGTATCTTGTCCTAGAACTCCTGAACAGAACGGTGTAGTAGAAAGAAAGCATAGGCGCTTAGTTGAGACAGGTTTGACAATGTTACTTCATGCTAATATGCCACCTCGTTATTGGATTGACAGTTTTTCTACTGTAGTTTTTCTTATAAATAGAATGCCTACACCTATTTTGAATAATAAGAGTCCTTATTTTCTTCTTTATGGTAAGGTTCCTGATTATTCTATGTTAAAAGTATTTGGATGTCGTTGTTTTCCATACCTTAGAGACTATGCTACGAACAAATTTCAACCTAGATCTTTACCTTGTGTGTTCATAGGATACAGTCCAATCCATAAAGGTTATAAGTGTTTGCATCCTACCACTCAATGTATATACATATCTAGACATGTAGCTTTTGATGAATATTTTCTCCCATATACTAATCTCACAAAGATTACAAGTGCTCCTAGTGCAGATGGTGAACTCTGTCAATATCCTGACTTTGATGAATGGGTGCAATGCTCATCCCACTTGCAAGCCGCTAAAAGGATAGATGAAGAGCAACAAGCTTCTGTGACTAGTCAATGCACTTCGATCAGAAATACTTGTACATAAGAAGGATGTGATACAATTTCCACTGCTGTAGAGGTACCTGAATCAACCTCACCTCAAGGATCCAAGAGTACAGATGGTAATTCCCCTCAAAACATACTAGAGGAAGCAAGTAATCTAGAAGGACCTGGATCAACTCATCTTGGAAATAACATCCATGAAAATGAGGTGTGTAATTCACCAGTACAGCTTGAACCTGATCCTTCTCAACCTATACAAGGACCAGGTAGTTCTTATTGTGAAGGGGTACCACCACCAGCTCACAATGCCACCTCCACTTCCGTTCACCCTATGACTACTAAAGCAAAATCAGGGAAGCATACTGGACATGTCCAAACTACTTTTCCTAAGTTTGCTCATTCTATGACTACTAATACTTATTCATTACCTGGTGCAGAATTGGACATTCAGGAACCCAAATCAGTTAAAAAGGCACTACAACTTCCTCACTGGAATAATGCTATGCAAGAAGAGCTAGATGCACTTCACAAGAATAACACATGGACATTAGTGCCTAGACCCTCATCACAGACAAATATTGTAGGCTCCAAATGGGTCTTCAAAACAAAGCTTCTCCCTAATGGAACGGTAGACAGGTTTAAAGCAAGACTAGTAGCACAGGGATACTCTCAAATCCCAGGAGTGGATTTTGAAGAGACTTTTAGCCCTGTTCTCAAGCCCACCACCCTTCGTTTGGTTGTTGCTCTTGCCACAACAATGTCATGGCCGTTACGACAATTAGATGTGAAAAATGCATTTTTACATGGGAAGCTCAAAGAGGAAGTCTACATGACCCAACCACCAGGTTTTGAAGATGCTTCACACCCTGAATATGTTTGCAAGCTCAATAAATCTATCTATGGTCTAAAGCAAGCTCCAAGGGCATGGTTTGACACATTCACACTGCAACTATTGAAATTGGGGTTCCATTGTAGCCAAGCAGACTCTTCTTTGTTTGTTCTTCATCATGGTCAAGATGTGGCTCTGCTCTTATTGTATGTTGATGACATAGTCCTTAGTGCAAGCTCACAGTTTTTGCTGCAACAGATAATTGATCATCTTGGCAGTCAATTTGATTTAAAGGATCTTGGCCCACTTAACTACTTTTTGGGGATTGAGGTCACTGAATTTTCAGGGGGCATATTTTTATCACAAGCTAAATATGCCAAAGATATTCTGACTCGAGCCCACATGTTTGCAGCAGCATCCATCGCCACCCCATTGGCAACGAAGGACACTTCTACTTTAAAGGATGATGACCTGGTTGATGCAAATGAGTACAGAAAGCTTGTTGGTGCATTACAATATTTGACAATTACCAGAACTGATATTTGTCATGCTGTGAATAGAGTTTGTCAGTTCATGCAACAACCTACATTTGCTCATATGCGACAAGTTAAACGTATTTTGAGATACATAAAAGGAACCATACACCATGGACTACGCTTCTCCTCTCATAGCACTCTTTCACTCACAGGGTTTTGTGATGCTGATTGGGCCGGTTGCCCAATTACAAGACGAAGCACCACTGGTTACTGTGTTTTCCTTGGAGCAAATTGCATCTCATGGTCTTCTAAGAAGCAACCTACCATCGCTCGTTCTACTGCTGAAGCAGAATATCGAGCCTTGGCTACTACTACAGCTGAAATTGTTTGGGTTACCTATCTTCTACGTGATATTGGGGTTTCACTTCCTTCTCCTCCTCAACTTTTTTCAGATAATCTTAGTGCTTTACATATGTCTATCAATCCTGTGTTTCATGCTCGTACAAAACACATTGAATTGGATTATCACTTTGTTAGAGAAAAAGTAGCACTTGGTACACTAGTAACTAGATATATTCCCAGCAGTGATCAAATTGCAGACATGCTTACAAAACCACTTCCGCGTGCCCAATTTCAATTGTTAAAGTTCAAACTGGGTTTGGTTGAGTCACCTCACGCCAGTTTGAGGGGGAGTATGAAGACTAAATCAGAACTAGCAAGATCACAGGAATCAAATTCAGCAACAGCATATAAGCTAAGAAAGGAAACAGAAGATATTAGAAGGGAAA